GTGTTCCTGTGATCCCAGCACCCCAGTGCTCCCAGAGAATTGATCCCAGCACCCTAATGTTCCGCAAATCTTCTCTGTATTCTTGGGATTTCAGGACCCCAGTGCTCCAAGAGACTCTCCCGTGTTCCTGTGATCCCAGCACTGCAGTACTCCCAGAGACCCCAGTGCTCCTCAAATCTCCTCTGTGTTCCTGGGATTCCAGCACTGCAGGGCACCTACTTGAGTACCTGTGCTTCTTGGTCTTTAGTTGCCTGTTTCTTTGCCTCAAGGTCCCAGGCCTGGGAGCTGCTCTTTGCTGGGTCTTCTGGCAAAAACCATTCTGTTCCTTAGACCCTACCCCTCACCCTTTCTTAGGGCTCTCACCTCCATTTAACATACATGCCCTTAGAGTCTTGTTCCTCCTGCCTTCCTTATATCTGGAATCACTTCGTGTCATTTCATCCTCTGCGGTCACTCCATGTCTCCTCTGTCTTCTGCTACTCCGTGACCCAAGCTTCCAATGTCCCCTATGGTGACCCTCTGGAAAACTGATACTTCCCAGTGGCCCCTCCAATGCCAGTGCCATAGTTGTCTTTTCAAAGTGAGTCGGAGGGCCGCAACCTGGGAGCCTTTCTGAAGTGAATTCCATCACACTTTGTGGGGTGCTCTGGTGACAACCAGGCAACTCCTTAAATTCTGCCCCTGATCCTTTCTTGGGGCTCTCACCTCAGCTGAACATGGAGATGCATCTACTACTCAATGACCCAAGCTTCCAATGTCCCCTATGGTGACCCTCAGGGAAACTGATACTTCCCAGTGGCCCCTCCGAGGCCAGTGCCGTTGTTGTCTTTTCAAAGTGAGTCGGAGGGCCGCAACCTGGGAGCCGTTCTGAAGTGAATTCCATCACACTTTGTGGGGTGCTCTGGTGACAACCAGGCAGCTCCTTAAATTCTGCCCCTGATCCTTTCTTGGGGCTCTCACCTCAGCTGAACATGGAGGTGCATCTACTACTCCGTGACCCAAGCTTCCGATGTCCCCTATGGTGACCCTCTGGGAAACTGATACTTCTCAGTGGCCCCTCCAAGGCCAGTGCCGTCATTGTCTTTTCAAAGTGAGTCGGAGGGCCGCAAACTGGGAGCCGTTCTGAAGTGAATTCCATCACACTTTGTGGGGTGCTCTGGTGACAACCAGGCAACTCCTTAAATTCTGCCCCTGATCCTTTCTTGGGGCTCTCACCTCAGCTGAACATGGAGATGCATCTACTACTCAATGACCCAAGCTTCCAATGTCCCCTATGGTGACCCTCAGGGAAACTGATACTTCCCAGTGGCCCCTCCGAGGCCAGTGCCGTTGTTGTCTTTTCAAAGTGAGTCGGAGGGCCGCAACCTGGGAGCCGTTCTGAAGTGAATTCCATCACACTTTGTGGGGTGCTCTGGTGACAACCAGGCAGCTCCTTAAATTCTGCCCCTGATCCTTTCTTGGGGCTCTCACCTCAGCTGAACATGGAGGTGCATCTACTACTCCGTGACCCAAGCTTCCGATGTCCCCTATGGTGACCCTCTGGGAAACTGATACTTCTCAGTGGCCCCTCCAAGGCCAGTGCCGTCATTGTCTTTTCAAAGTGAGTCGGAGGGCCGCAAACTGGGAGCCGTTCTGAAGTGAATTCCATCACACTTTGCCCCTGATCCTTTCTTGGGGCCCTCACCTCAGCTGAACATGGAGGTGCATCTACTACTCCGTGACCCAAGCTTCCAATGTCCCCTATGATGACCCTCAGAGAAATATATACTTCCCGGAGTTCCCTCTGAGGTCTCTGCCTTCATAGAGCCACATTTTCCCAAATTCCTGGTTAGCCTGTTCGTAGGGAATACTAGGACTCCTATTTTATTTTTTTATTAAGGTTTATAATTTTGCTGTCTTAAATTTAAAAAATACTACAGGTTCCCTTTAAAGCCGTCATGTCTTGTGCCATGTCCCTGCCTGTTTAGAAGAAACAATCCAACGTAGAGAACAATTAAAGCAAAGCCTATTCTAAGCGGCTGTGAGCGCGGCGCGTGGTATCAGCGCCTCTCGAACACCTGCCTGCCGCTGCATCATGCTGAAATTTAGCAGTCCTAATGAACAGCGGCACAGTCTCCTTATCTACCTAATTGCAGAGAATTATTATCCAGATCATCTGGCAGCTGATCCCCTGTGAGCGCGGCTGAGCCGGGAGATAGGCGCGGGGCGGGGTGCCATGAGGAGGACACTCTGGAAGGGGGTGTCAGGTCACCGAGCGAGGAGAGCGGAATGTCACAGCTTCCAATAAAATCCAGTTTTTTTTATTTATTTTTGCAGGAAAATTCTGCTACTGAAGCTTGGGCAGAGAAATGAACTGATTTTAATGAATATGCCGGCTGAACCTAAGACTAGACTCCTTCTATGGGAGACCCAGATTCGGGGTGTCCCTTGTAGTAAACTGTAGACACCATTGAAGGTCCTATTTATTAGAAGGCATTTATTAGAGGGCACAATCCTGCCTGTGTTGTGGACCTGAAATATGTTCTGGTTTAGGACCCAGCTCTAGGGAAGTTTTATCTCTGGAGAGAGTGAAATGCTTCTGTCAGGTTTTAACTGCTCATATAGATAAACCAAGAAAGAACTCGAAACCCAGTGCTCCCCGAGAATCTCCTGTGATCCCAGAAACCCAGTGCTCCCCGAGAATCTCCTGTGATCCCAGCAACCCAGTGCTCCCCAAGAAACTCCTGTGATCCCAGCAATCCAGTGCTCCCCAAGAAACTCCTGTGATCCCAGTGATCCCTGAGAATCTCCTGTGTACCTGTGATCCCAGCAACCCAGTGCTCCCTGAAAATTTCCTGTGATCCCAGAAACCCAGTGCTCCCTGAAAATTTCCTGTGATCCCAGCAACCCAGTGCTCCCTGAAAATTTCCTGTGATCCCAGCAACCCAGTGCTGCCCGAGAATCTCCTGTGATCCCAGCAACCCAGTGCTCCCCGACAATCTCCTGTGATCCCAGAAACCCAGTGCTCCCCGAGAATCTCCAGTGATCCCAGAAACCCAGTGCTGCCCGAGAATCTCCTGTGATCCCAGCAACCCAGTGCTCCCCGACAATCTCCTGTGATCCCAGAAACCCAGTGCTCCCCGAGAATCTCCAGTGATCCCAGAAACCCAGTGCTGCCCGAGAATCTCCTGTGATCCCAGAAACCCATTGCTCCCAGAGAATCTCCTGTGATCCCAGCAACCCAGTGCTCCCCGAGAATCTCCTGTGATCCCAGCAACCCATTGCTCCCAGAGAATCTCCTGTGTTCCTGTGATCCCAGCAAGCCAGTGCTCCCCATAATTTCCTGTGTTCCTGTGATCCCAGCAACCCAGTGCTCCCCAAGAAACTCCTGTGTTCCTGTGATCCCAGTGATCCCTGAGAATCTCCTGTGTTTCTGTGATCCCAGCAACCCAGTGCTGCCCGAGAATCTCCTGTGATCCTAGCAACCCAGTGCTGCTAGAGAATCTCCTTTGATCCTAGCAACCCAGTGCTGCTAGAGAATCTCCCATGATCCCAGCAACCCAGTGCTCCCCAAGAATCTCCTAAGTTCCTGTGATCCCAGCAACCCAATGCTCCCCGAGAATCTCCCGTGATACGAGCAATCCAGTGCTGCCAGAGAATCTGCTGTGTTTCTGTGATCTTAGCACCCCAGTGCTCTCAGAGATTCTGCTACATTCCTGTGATCCCAGCAACATGATCCTCCCTGAAAATCTCCTATGTTCCTAGCAACCCAGTGCTCCAAGGGAATCTCTAGAGTTCCTGGGATCCCAGCACCCTTGTGCTCCTAGAGAATCTCCTGTGATTCCAGCAACCCAATGCTTCAGGGAATCTTCTGAGTTCCTCTGATGCCAGCAACCCAGTGCTCCCAGAGATTCTGCTACATTCCTGTGATCCCATCAACCCTGTCTCCTAGATAATCTCCTGTGATCCCAGAAACTCAGTCCTCTCAGGGAATCTTCTGCATTGCTGTGATCCCAGAAACCCTTTGCTCCCACAGAATCTCCTGTGATCACAGCAACTCAGTGCTCCCAGGAAATCTCCTGTGTTCCCAGCAACTCAGTGCTCCCAGGAAATTTCCTGTGTTCCCAGCAACTCAGTGCTCCCAGGAAATTTCCTGTGTTCCCAGCAACTCAGTGCTCCCAGGGAATCTCCTGTGTTCCCAGCAACTCAGTGCTCCCAGGGAATCTCCTGTGTACCCAGCAACTCAGTGCTCCCAGGGAATCTCCTGTGTACCCAGCAACTCAGTGCTCCCAGGGAATCTCCTGTGTACCCAGCAACTCAGTACTCCCAGGGAATCTCCTGTGTTACCAGCAACTCAGTGCTCCCAGGGAATCTCCTGTGTTCCAAGCAACTCAGTGCTCCCTGGGAATCTCCTGTGATCACAGCAACCCGGTGCTTCCATGGAATCTCCTGTGTTCCCAGCAACTCAGTGCTCCCAGGGAATCTCCTGTGTACCCAGCAACTCAGTGCTCCCAGGAAATCTCCTGTGTACCCAGCAACTCTGTGCTCCCAGGGAATCTCCTGTGTACCCAGCAACTCAGTGCTCCCAGGAAATCTCCTGTGTTCCCAGCAACTCAGTACTCCCAGGGAATCTCCTGTGATCACAGCAACCCAACCCAATGCTGCCAGGGAATCTCCTGTGATCACAGCAATCCAACCTAATGCTGCCAGGGAATCTCCTGTGATCACAGCATCCCAGTGCAGCCAGGGAATCTCCTGTGATCACAGCAACCCAACCCAATGCAGCCAGGGAATCTCCTGTGATCACAGCAATCCAGAGCTCTCAGAGAATTGACAATCTCAAACCTCCAACAACCCAGTTCTTGTTCTGTCCTAACCTGATGAAAGGTAAAATCTGGCTGCTGACAGTCCTGGCACTTTGCAGGTCAGTTCTGCGCTTTGCACTGCTTTCTATGGTGGGTTGTTGGCGATGGCCTTGGTTGTCTTTTGCTCATTTGGATTTTTGCTTTCTTCCTACACAGCGCCATCACCAAGGAGAACACTCTGGTGCTCCTGTCCAGCGTGGCCCCCGATGCCGGACGCTACTACGTGCAAGCTGTCAATGACAAGAATGGCGACAACAAGACCAGCCAACCAATTACAGTCATAGTGGAAA